CCCAGTCTCTCCGGTTACCGGTTGGAGAAGCGCAGCCAGAACACGTCGTACACGAACAACTGCAGGGGCTTCACTGACCGCAGCAGCACGATGTAGCGGACGTCGAACTTGACCCTCCCCACGTCTTCTCGGAGGAACAAGACAGGACTCTCAATGTACTTGCACACAACCTGGAGGGCACAGACAGGCTCGCGGGAGGCGCTCACCATCCGCGGGCCAGGAGGGAGCACCCCGAGGCATGCTGACCGCGCCAGCGGTGGCCCACACCGTGAGGCGGCCTAATGTCCCCGCATCTGGAGGAAGAGGCCCCTGCAGCGCGCCCCCTGGTGGCCGTGGAGGGACCCGCACCCTGCACTCTCCCTCTGCATTTTCAAACCCGTCTAGCTTGGGACAGTTTCCTCCTTTACTTTAATTGAAGGAAAAGTTCCCACCAGTGTTTAGGTTTCGGAAACTGAACACAAATCCTCAGCCTTAAATCCACCGGCTCCCATTGTGTGGCGGGAAACCTCCAGTGACTGTCTTGTGGCAAGGGTCCCAGGGCCCCTGCCCAGGCGCATGATCTGCATCCTCAAACTCCCCAACACGGCTTCTGAGGTGTCCCATGTCACTACAGCGCCTTTGTCCAGGGCTCCCAGGCCTGGCTATCTCCCTCCTGGTATGTGGACACTCGTGGTACAGCGTGTGGGGACCCTGAGATGAGATACATCTAGCACAGCTCTGACGCAGGCTCCCTCCTCTCACTGGACTGTCACAGCCCCTCCCTGCCGGCAGAGCAGTGGAAGGAATGGGGCCGGGGCTTCAGAGATGCCTATGAGCTGAGTGACCCCATCACTGCCCACACTGGGACCCACCGGCATAGGTCCTAGACACTTGAGTCCCCCGCCTCCCTTGGGGCTTACCTTGGGGCTGCTCTCGCGGTGCCGGATGACGCTGTGGAGGCTCCTGGTGATGTGGGTGTCCAGACTGCGCGCCAGGTTCCAGGGCTTGCAGATCCAGTGGTTGTCCTCGCCCCTGGGAGCAGAAGGGCCGGTGGGCTGTGCCTGGGGCCACCCTCCCAAGACTGTAGCAGCAGAGGGACACCCAGCCTCCCCCAGGGGGCTGAGGGAGGTATCACAGCAGAGGTTAGAGGCTGGGCCTTGGGGAGTAAGGAGGCGTCTGCTGGAGGCAAGGGGCTGTGCTCTGGGTGAGGCCTGGACCCTGAAGCAGCTGTGGGTCTGTGGGTCTTGGCGGCATGGCCCACTGGGGCAGCCGGGTCAGAGGGGGGCTTACCGTCTCTCCCGCTGCTGGAAGTAGCTGACAAACTGGGGCAGCTCAGTGCGCAGGTTGAAGGTTCGGGGCAGCCAGGCTGGGCCCTCTGGGCCGCCCGCCCGGCGTGCGATGGAGGCCAGGCAGTCCTTCACCGTCAGCAGGTTCTCACAGGGAAACTGGTTCAGCAGCACGTGGGGCCGCTCCTGGCTGAGCCTCCTGCGGCAGGGGGACGGCTCAGGGGCTGCGGTGAGGGGCAAGGGGCTCTGGGGCCAGTCGCGGGGGCCTGGGGGTACGTGCCTCACCTGTAGTCCTTGAAGTGTGAGAAGTTGTAGAGGATGTCGGCGTCAGCCTCGCTCTGGGTGAAGGTGAAGCGCGGGTGGGTGAGGTGGCTGAGCACCTGCTGCATGTCCGTGTAGACCCTGCAGGGAGAGGGGAACTGAGTCAGACAACCAGGGACCCCATCCCCGGCCATTCTGCTGAGTGGTGGGGCAACTAGGACCCTCACAACCCTGGGTTCCCCGTCTGGAAGATGGGCTCACACTTCTCAGTATGAAACAGGGTGACCTGAGTGCTGAAAAAATGTAGGTTCTTTCCCCACAGTGGAAACACAGGGACAGGTCGACACCACCAATTTCCCACAGACACACTGAGAACGTGACCCTTGAGGAGGAAGCCGGTGCCCCAGGTGCGTGCAGTGAGTGTGTTGCTGAGACATGTGCCCGGATGAGGCCTTGTTCCACACTGGTGCTTGCTGGTGCTCGCCTGGCCTGGCCTGTGGTGGCCCCAGGCAGAGGTGTGGGCAGGACTGGAGCCTGGAGCCTGATCCAAGCACGCCTCAGGGAGCGTCTGACCCTGAGGAGGTGGAGGGGTGCTGGGCAGGGGGCCTCAGGAAAGGGGGTGAGGACAGGGCAGAGGGCGTGGGAGGAAACCGCCAGGACTGGGGAGAGGCAGAGTGGAGCGTGTTGCTCTGTCCAGGGGGGCTCCCGCTGGAGGCAGAGGCCAGTCCGCCCCAGCTCAGCTCTGAGCCTGCTCTGCACGGTGGGTGGAGCGCTGCACCTCCACTCCCTGACCTGTAGAATGGAGCATCTACTTCTACAGGGGGCCAGCCTGGGCTTGCCAGCTTGGCCTTACGTAACAGGCCAGCCCATACCTGCAGACACTGGCCGCAGCCCCTCCTGGCAGGGCAGGTGTCTCTCCTGAGTGTCCAGCATCGGCTCCCAGCCCTCAGGAGGGGCCAGCATGCACAGGCCTGGCTGCATTTTCACTCCAGGACCAGAAGCACACACACTGAGAACTTGCGATTGCACAGTGGCCCAAGAGAAGGAGTCGGGGTCATGACACCCGGTGCCTCAGAACACGGCTGGGCAGGAACCAGCTCGAGGCCGGTCCTCCACCTGCCACCAGCACACTCGCAGCCTATTCCTGTCCTTTGAGGTAGATTTAAACTCTGGTCCTGCAGGGGCCCTGCTCACCTCTTGCTGCTCAGAGCATTCTCTCTGTGATCCTAGAAACTCCCCTCTGGCATCTCGGTCACCGCGGTGCCGCCAGGACAGAGGGGACCTACGGAGGGGCCTCCCTGACCCAGGCACTGCTCTGGGAGCCGTGGGAACTGGAGGGGTGTGTGTGTGAACAACGTGACCAAGGAAAAGCCTCACTACAAGCTCAGAAGGGGCTACGCACTTGAAGATGTGGTCGCAGGGATGCGCCGCCGGATTGATGGCCAGTGGCAGCTTCTCCTTGTTTTCCTCCAAAATGGCCTGGAAGGAAAGACACGGGAAGTGGAAACACCTTTGAGAAAGGAAGCCTGAGAGCACGTGCCTCCCCTATCCTGGCACATCAGGGCTTAGGATCTCAGGGGCACACCCAGGCCTCATGTGGAGCCTTTCACCAGAGCCCTCTGACCGCCCCACTTCGAGCTGGGGCTCAACACCCCTCAGGTGCTGGCCCCTCAGCACTGTAAACATTGCTCTCCATCTTCTCAACGCGACCTCCGAACACGGGCGGCTGAGGTGCCCAGCCTGCCCTGGAGGGGCTCCCGGTCCCCAGGGAGCCCCCAAGGGCTGCTCCCGGCTTACGCAGCGTGGTGGTTTAAAGAAAACACGCCCACCAGCCCTTTGCCGCTCCCTTTAAAAGAGCTTCATTCACCTCCCCTTGCGTGTGGGCTGAACGAGTTGCTTCTAACCAATAAAAAGTGGACGAACGTTGTGCAACTTCATCAAAGGCCCTGTGGCTTCCTCCTCCCTTCTCTGTGGTCACCTGCTCTGGGAGCAGTTAGCCGCCAGCCCATGAGGACACTCAAGCAGCCCTGTGGGGAGGCCCCCGTGGGGAGGAGCTGAGGCCTCCTGCCAACAGCCAGCACCCCCGTGCCAGGTGTGGAAGCAGGTCCTCGGTCCCAGCCGGCCTCAGGATGTGGCCCTGGCTGACAGCCTGACTGTGCCTCATGAGGGGCTCCGGGATGCAGGCAACCAGGGCCCAGAGCACAGGCCTGATCCAGGTGGGTCAGATGGGGACAAACTGTCCAGACACTTCAGTGCTTGGCCTCATCTTCTCTTCCTGGCCAGCAGAGGGCGACCCAAGCAAAAAAAGACATTTGAAATTCAAGTTCCTTTAACACACCACCCCAAGATCAGGAAGTCTTTGTCCTTTCGCCATTCTGAAGCCTGCCCCTTTGCATTCACTCCTTTTTTCAAATGTTTACCAGTCACCTACGAGGTGCAGGCACTCTATGAGCCTCTGAAACATCTCTGAACCAAGCAGGGCGATCACCGAGTTTGGGGCAAGGCTAGTTCAATCACCACTGGCGATAATGTAGAATTCACGGGAAAAGTGGCAACAAGCCCACTGCTGCAGCCCAGCCTCTCCAATGAGTAGCATGCACAGAACCGCTGACACCACACGGTGCTTCCCACTAACTCTAGCTGACTCCTTCATTCCTTCCCACAATCCTGAGGCATTTGATGAGCGGCTGATGTGCTGGCGGGGGTAAGGCAGCTTCAAGACGAGGTGGGAAGTGAGGGAGGGGCGTGTGGCCTCTGCTCACAAGTTCTTAGGTCCTCTTGGTTTTGGACTCTGGTTCTCCCACCAGCTGTGTGACCTTTAGCAAGTTACTTAACCTCTCTGTACCTCAGTTTCCTCATCCTCAGTAAAATGAAGATAAAAACAGGACTGTAGGTCCTATTGTTGTAAGGATTACAGTAGAGCGTGTCCATAAAGTGCTGAGCACAGGCTCCCTCGTCGCCTGGTTTCCAACTGGGACCAGCCAACAGCAAGCAGTGGCAGGAGACCAGAGGGCAGGGGACGGAAAGGGGCTGGGAGGTAACCCCTGCCCGGCCCTGCCTGGTTCTGGCAGTGGTTGTGTTCCTACAGGCTCCACTTCCTCCCCTCGCCCCAGGCCTCACTAATCCTGGTTCCCTAATCTGGCCCACCCCACGTACCCTGGGCCCTACTGAGTCCCAGTGGGGCCCTGACGGAGAGGCTGTCCACAGACTGAAAGCATCTTTGCTGTCCCTAACAACAGTACCAACGACAGCTACTTATCGAGGGCCTACTGCTGCTGGAAACTATGCTGCACAGAGTTTGAACAGTGTCCTCCCCTGCCAGGGGTGGGAGGTACGGGGGGGAGGGTCACACCTGGTAGTGCTCGTCAGGGGGCTCGGGCGTGTAGGAGCTGAGGTCCAGCATGTTGGCAGGGGCCCAGGGGAGCAGCATGCACCTCCGGATCAGAGGGTCTGTCTCTCCATAGGCGAAGTCCCGGGTCACCTCCTCTGCACCAAGACACACAAGCCCATCAGGGGTGGCAGGAGGCTGGCCTGGCCATCCTCCGAGGTGGGTGGGCGTCTGACTTACCACCCGTGTCCAGGTCCCGCAGGGGCCACAGCAGTGTGTAGGCCACCTGCTGTGGCATGTAGAAGAAAGGAGCGGTGGCAAAGCTGGGCACATCCGAGTGCTGGATGCGAGAGCCGAACTCGTCCATGATGTACCACACGGGCACCTTGTCCTCGGCCGTCTGCGGGCAGAGCATACACAGTCTTGTCTGGCAGCCTAGCCACTGCCCTTCCCACTCATCCATGCCCCTGGCGCCAACCACCCAATGCTCTGAGCCTGGAGCAGCTGTCACACAGACCCCAGGCCCTTTAACCCGGGGCCCTGGGACAGTGGCCCTGCCCTGGCCGACGAGGACACAGGCCAGTGACATCAGGACGATGGCCTGTGTGCTGAAGGCACATGGTAGCAAGGACTTGGCTGGTAGTCACATGGATGTATGGAGTCTTGTGTGTGTGGCTTGGAGCGGAGGGTGGGGGGAAGACAGGGGAGACTTGTGGTTCAGGGGAGGTGACACTGAAGCTGAGATCCTGAGAAACAACATGTCTTTTCCCAACCTAAACATGGTGAGGGGCTGGAGCCTAAGGGTGAGCTGGGGAGGCTGGGGGCGAGGTGATGAGAGCCCGAGGACATGTGCTGAGGACTCAACTCCTCTCCCCAAGGCCGTGAGGACTCCTGAGGCCTTTTAAAGGCCGGGTGACAGGACCAGAAGGCATCAGGAAAGAGGCAGCCAAGTACAGGACTCTGAGAGGGGGCTGTGTGCTGTGAGCGTAAAGGCCGCGCAGACACCTGGGTCCCTGGCATTGGCTGGTCTGAGGCAGAGTAACAGGCCCACGATGGAGCCACAGGGAATGAGGGGCTTCAACGGGCCACGGGGGAAGGTGAGTTTGCTCACTTGTGGGGTAAAGGCCCCGGCCGGGTCCAGGCCCTCCTGGCCGCCCGAGAGCCCTGACCACACAGTGGCTAAGGCCTGTGTCTGTCTGTCCTCTGCTTCCCCAGGGGTCTGGCTGCCCACTCACCCCATGGGACAGCTGGTAGGTCTGGTTGAACTTCCACATCTCCTCCAGCACCTGGTCCACGGCCTCGGCGCTGGGCAGCTCGCCGTGGAACTCGATGCCCATCAGGTTGGCCATGCGGTGCAGCAGCCCAGGCACCTGGTGCAGCTGCTGGCGGGCGTGCTCCACGCGGCACGTCCAGGCGTGGTCGATGAGGAAGATGCTGTGGGCACAGGTCACAGGAGGTGTGAGGCTGCTGTGCGGGCACAGCCAGAGGGAACTGGAGGCGGCCGAGGAGGCGGTGGCCCAGGGCTGCAGCCCGGACCTGCACCCAACTCGAGACTTGGTTTCCCCAGCACCAGCGGGCCTGGGTGGGCATCTGGGCTCTGCTGACCACTCACTGGGTGGCTATGGGTACGTTCCTCTCCCTCATCCAGTTTCTAAAACAGGACATCAGGGGCCCTGGTCCTGCTACCCGGCTGATAGAGCATCAAACGAGACGGAACACACAGCATGCCGTGGACGCGAGAAGGAGCCGCCACGTGGGGCTCACTCAGCTCACCCGGGGCCGCCGGGCACCTCCTGGGAAGCACCAAGGCCTTTTATCGGGAGAGGCCTCCAGTCCCCACCCATGTGGACACCTGCAGCCCACGCCCCCCGGTTTCCCTGGAGGAGCTGCCCGGCTCTCCCACACCTCGGTGGGGCTGAGGGGCAGGACAAAGCCACAGGGCTGCCGGGACACCCACCCCACACAATCGGGGGGCAAGGCGGCTCCCCTGCTCTCCTGCTGAAGCAAATGTTCCAGTCTTAGGCTGGGCAGCAAGTCTGGCAGCCTTTATTTTATTGCACTTACTCAGTGGGCCCTTCGTACCCACGGGCTGCAACCAACTTCAGATCAGAAATATTTGGAACACAGTAACAGAACTTTGCTGTTTTCTGGGGATTTGTTTTTTAATCTTTTTTCTTTTTAACGGAGTGTGCCGGAAGTCTCTGTAATTTTGTTCAGACGACTGCAGAACCTGGAAGAGCTGTTGCTACTCTTGATGCATAACATACTGCTGTTGGTCTTTTTATATAAATACACACACACGCGCACACACACACACACACACATACCTATATATACATATAATTCAAATTTTTGGAAACCTTAGCTGAGCTGTCAACTTTGGAAAAACTCTCCCAGTTGTGCTGTGTTGGGCTGGCATCGTACAGAAACTAATAGCCACACTGGTCTAGAAACGTTCAACATAGTTTTTCCATGTGTATAGGGGTAACACACTGAACTAAATAGGTAAGGTCTTAATCTACATGGGTTTGATTACAGAAACTAATAAAGTATTCTCTCAATAATGAAAAAACCCCCACAAAACTTGAAACACGTTACGTGGCCGCTGACGTGTACTGTGCAGCCGGGCCTACGAGGGCTGCGTAGGTATGGAACAGAACACACGCAGGCTTTTTTTGGTCATCTTCCCCTAAACAATACAGTATAACAATTGTTTACAAAATACTTATGTTTCATTAGGTATTATAAGTGATCTAGAGATGATTCAAGTACTCGAGGGGATGTGCGTAGGTTACAGGCAAATACAGGGTGAGGCAGAAGTAACACGATTAATCAATGATAATACAATAAACTGTTCCACGTACTCACAACTGTAGACCTACTTGTGCCCCACCCTGAACTACGCCATTTTATACAGGGGACATGAACATCTGAGGACGTGGTACAGGAGGGGGGGTCCAGGAACCAACCCCACATTTTTATGTCCTAAAACAAATGAAGGCATATCCTGCCCTCCTGCTGAGAGTTTATGACCCTGACGGTGCAAAGCCAGGCCTTTGAAGAGAACACCTGAGGCAGCGAGCCCCTCAAGGTGCCACGTGCCTGACTTACTTGGGGCTGGAGCCCGCACAGGCAGGGACAGAGCAGGTACATGGAGGCTGGCAGCCAGGAACTTAATGAGAAAGAAGAGCCTGTTGAGTTTCTGCATCAGGAAGCATGTGGGCGGAGGTTCCCGGCTGCAGGGATTACCTGTGTGGCCACTCCCACCGCCTCAAGCTGAAGACAGAGGCCTGTCCCTTCCACGAAGAACCAAGGACACACCACAGACACAGGGGGCAGATGACTCCCAGAGGCCAGCAAGTTTCTCCCTCCAGGTTCCAACAAAGTGTGGCAGAGGGGCCTGCAGACTGCCCTGGCTCACGGCCCCGGGGAGGCAGGAAGCCTGGGGTCCCGTCTTAGCTCTGTCCTATCTACCCTGTGGCCCTGCACAAGGCCCGGCCCTGTTCTGGGCCTCACTGTCCTCACTTGAGTACTCACCCAGACCACACTCCTCACAGTCCTGGGAATAGAGCCCCCAGAGAACACGCTGAGTGTCCCAGGCCCCCTAGGAAAAGCTGGGGTTCAGGAGTGAGACTGCTGTGGGACCCTGGGCAAGTCCTGTTTCCTCATCAGCAAAACCAGAACTTGTCACCCACTGTGTGACCGCTGTAGATGGGTACGGCACAGAGAGCCCACCAGGACCAACACGGTCCTGAAGCCCCACAGGGAAGCCCGGTGGCCACAAGCACCCATCACACAGGGGCGCAAGGGTTTCTGCAGTTGCGTCTCCAAAAGGAAGCCCGGCCCCAACAGCCCCGGCGTGGATGACCGACGTCTCGCTCAGGCCCCTACCTGTTGGGGTCCGTGGCCTGGAGCCCGTCCTCGCTGGTCACGATGACCTTGTAGCAGAGCTCGCTGCCAGGGTTGGGCTTCTTCTTGAGCGCTTCCCGCGTGGCCTCATCCTCACTCTCCTCCACTTCCTCCACCTGCATTATCCCAAACATCTCCCCGGCGTCGAAAACCTGGAGGTCACAGCCGGGGTGTCAGCAGGATGCTCAGCCCTGGGCCCTCACCATGGCCCGACTTCCACTCCCACCTCCAAGTCAAACTAAACCCCTGGGGAGAAGCAGGACCTATTGATCGCCCAACTACCCATTTCACAGGTGGGGAAACTGAGGCTCCCAGAGAGAGCGAGCAGGTAGAACAGGGGCCCAACCTGCACCGCAGGACCTGTGCTTAGAAATGGGCCTGTACACGCATGTCCGAATTATGGCTACTCTGGCCCCTGGCTTTATAGGGAAAACAAGGCCTGAGAAGCAGAGGGGGTGGCCCTGGTCACACTGGAAGCAAATGCAAAACCTTGGTGGCCAGGGATCTCACTCCAATTTTGCTCACCAGAGGAACCCATCAAACATCAAGGCAGCTGAGAAAACCCAGAGGGAAACAGGTGTTCGAGAGCCTCCCGCAGCCACCGTTCCTGCCCAGCCGAGCAGCAGTCCAGGCCCGTGTAAAGCATCACCTTGGGGTCGGGGGCTGGTCTCCTGAGGTCCCAGGTCAGAATGGGACAGGAGGATAAAGGCCTTGATCCTTGAGGTTCCCTGGCAAAGGACAACTGCCAGCCATGTGCAGCTGGTGAAGAGAACAAGCCAGCCTCCTTGTGCTTTGGAGCCGGGCTATGTGACCTTGAACAAGTCACTGAGCCATGCTATGCCTCAGTTTCCCCATCCATACAGTTGGCGCATCAGGACCTACCTAATGGGCTGCTGGGAGGATTAGTGATTAACACGCATGAAGAGCTAGAACCTATGCCTGGCAAATGCTTTGGCAGCACCTGCTCCCGTCATTCCACCTGGGAGGCCTCTCACCTGGGGAGGGGGTACCATCCACCTTCCAGGAAAGCTATAAGCGTTTGGTCAACACCACAGTACACAGAAGTCCTGGGCACACAGCAGGGACTCAACAAAGGTCACTTCCTCCCTAAAACCTATTTTTTGCGACTCTACTAAAAACAGGAGAAAAATTTACCCCAGCAGCTGGAAACCAGCTAGCTACCCAGGCACAGGCAGCTTTGGTGCTAGGCAGCACTGGCACTTCGGGGGTATGAGGAGGAATCACTCATGATCCTGCCCAGGGAGCTGGCCGAGTGGCAGGGCCAAGCAGGGCTGGGCAGTTTGAAAAGACCAGGAGAGTGGTGCTGGGCCTGGAGGGCCCTGGAAGATTTTATGGCGGAGACATAGTTGGAGGTGAATGCTGGAGGAAGGTGGTGGTGGGAGGTTTAAACAGGAGCCTGGGGGTGGTGGTGGTGAAAGGACTGCAGGCGGGGAGCAGAGGAGCTGGGGCAGGGAGGGCTGTGGAGACCAGGCTCCTCCAAAGACCAGGGGAGCTGAGCTGGGGCACTTTCTGGTTCTCCTTTAACCCTTGCAGAGCCTGGGGAGGGCACTATGGTACCTCCCAGTTTAAGAGATCAGAAAAGTGGCTCCTAGGGCTGGAATTCACACCCCGGGCTTCAACCTACTGCCCAAAACCCCCAGTCCTCACCCCCAAACCTGACAGGCGGGAGGGAGCATAAGGCCTTGGGGTAGAGGGCCTGCTGTGGAGTGGGCAGGACCATGATCTCTCCCTGGTGGGACTGGGAAGTGCATGCGGACAGAAGAGCTGAAATGTATTTTAAAACGCTTCCCCCAGTCTTTCAAAGGGAACTTCCTCTTGACGCAAGGCACCAGGGGATAGGACTGAGGGGCCCCTTTCCTGTGGGCAGGTGCCTGGGCCGCCGGTGCGAGCCCGTCCACACACCTGGGCCCACAGCAGCCCCGGGTTTCCCTTAGGACAATGAGCGCAGGGTGGGTCAGGCACCGTGGTGACTCACAGCTCTGCCCATAACTCAGAATGGCAGGGAGGGCCGTGGAAAAACACCGGCTGCAGAGCAGCGGCAGGCGCTACGTGTGGTGACTGCTCACTGGAGGGAACTTATCTCATGCTCCCTACCCCTCCCTGCCACGACTCCCGCTTCTAAGGTCGTTGTTTTTTAAAATCCTCACCTGAGGACGTTTTATTGATTTTTAGAGAAGGGGGAGGGGGAGGGGGGGAGAGAGAGAGAGAGAAACATCAATCAGTTGCCTCCCATACACGCCCTGGCCTAACCCACAACCTAGGTATGTACCCTGACAGGGATTGGAACCCGCCACCTTCTGGTGTATGGGACGACACTCCAACCAACTGAGCCACCCGGCCAGGGCAAGACTCCCACTTTCTAGACTGAGGCTCCGTTGGGTGAGTGACTTGCCAAGTCAGGGTTTCCTGCCCATGGAGGCTGGCTGGGCTGGAGCCGAGTGTTCCCACAGGCCGCTCCTTTCGCTCAGCATACGACGACCTTTTTTATCTTCACAAACATATTGCTGGGGTCCCCTCCCACCCCAGCACAGGCCTGGCACCAGGGCATGTGCTCAGGCAATGATGGCAGAATCGAGGGGAAGTCATTGTGGAAAGAAAATTCACTGTTGCAAAAGATAGGTAGCTGCTGCTATTCTATCTTTTTTCAGAAACTACCTGTTGAATAGGAGGGTACCTGGTACAACCCCAACTTTGCAGACACAGAAACTGGCTGAGAGGGAAGCGTTTGTCCAGGCTCAGCGGACACTCTCTGCCTGGCTCTGGAGTTCCTGTCGTCACCGACACTGCTCAGTCTGTCTTGGCCCCAGGAGGCAGCCCCCTGAAGAGGAGCCTGGTTCCTGCTAAGAAGGACCCACTAGCTGGCCAACGAATGTCTCTGTCTTCAGCACCTGGGGCAACTACCCCAAACCAGGGCCCACCCCTCTGCGAGGATCCACAGGGAGCCCCTCTGGAGGCCCAGGCTGGAGCAGTTGGTGAGCCGAACCAGGCTGCCCCACAAAAAGGGAGAGAACCTACAAACATCGAAGACCTTTCCTTTTTCTTTAGATCTGTTTTCTTTAATCTGCAAAATGAGGGTGATTCAGGCTCACATCAAAAGAAGGAACATGAAAGAATTTTATGAACCAAACATTTAAAGCCACACAAACTCATGGGGCAGTGGCAGCAGGCTTCCAGTTTCTGAAGTCTGACAGGCCTTTGGGAGAGTCACTTTCTCTTCCTGAGCCTCAGTTTTCTCAACTGTATAATGGGGGTGATGACTCTTACTCCTCCCAGGTCTGCTGTGGGCTTGGAGGTGGAGCAGCCAGCTCGGGGCCTGGCACACCACAGGAGCCAAGGTTCATTTTAGTTCCAGGTTCTGCTGCAGCCCTGGCCCGGTCCCAGGTGCTGGCAGGACCAGGGCCACAGGTACAGGGCCCTGGTGGCCACTCTTAGGCCCCACACTTTAGATGGCTCCTGAACTGCCAAGGAGGCAAAGTCTAAGTGGGTAATCATGGCATTCGGGGCGCTTCTCTAGCGTCACCCATCCACCCCGACCCCGACTCCCGGAGAGACACGTCTCCCCGAAGCCCTCTGGGCTGGGCGCGGGCCCCCCGCCCTGCAACGCGCTGGCCACCGTGCGCTCCCCCGCATCCTCCCGGCCTCATCTGCACGTGGCCTCCAGGAGGCCGCCCTGCCTGCCCCGTGCGGACCCAGCGGTGCTCGGCCCAGGGGCACCCCCTTCCCGGGGG